GTTACAGTTGTAAGTTGAGGACTACCTATACATGAGAGGGCTCAAGATGTCTACTTTAATATTATTTTGGATCTTGACTGTTGCCTCAGTATGATCTAACACTCAATTACCGTCCCACCAATCTCTTGGTTAGAAGAAATGCAAAGCTTCTTTCCCCAAAGTCAACAAAAATTCTGGATCCTTCCCTCCCCACTCGATTTTGAAGCACTATAGCCAGAATCTGTCCTAACCTGACCTAACATTGCCATGTGATTATAAGCAGACATGTTTAAGCTGGTTAGCAAATATCTCTACTGGAGTTATTAAAATCCCATTATGCTTTAATTTTGTGAATAATGAAAAGAGAAAAGTGGAAACATCGTGATTCATCTATGAGCGGATCTTTAGTTTTAAGATTTTTTTTTTTAAAAAAACAATGCTTGCTTTTCTATTTCTTGGGTGATTTTTTTTTTTTGCTTTGTTTTTGGGGAATAAAGAAAAAAAATTGCAATGCTCCTGTTAGCTAGTTAAATGCTTTCACAACGGGAATGTATTGAAATATTAACCAAATTAATACACATTTTGGCATTTCCATTTTTCCCTGCTGTTTGGAGTTGAATCTGATAACAATTGCAAATGTCTCTTTTTTGTACATGGGGGAAAGTGTGATACTATGCAGCATTGAAGAAAGTTCAAATCTCTCAGGAGCAGAATGTCAAAACATCTCTGATCAGTTGGTATTATTAAAAAAACTAAGGTGACCAATTGTCCTTCTTTAGGGAGGACAGTCCTTCTTTTGTAAGTTCTGTCCTCTCTAGAAAAGTGTCCTCCTACATGTTCTCCTTTTTGATATTTGAAGACTAATCTGTAAATCTCCATATTTGATCGATATTGAGCTGATCCGTTGCGTGTGATGTAATGTATTTGTATTTGACATGACGATTCGTCAAGGCTCAGTACAGTATTGCGAGACGCGATTATGAGATGCATGCGCTCTGCACAGGAGAATTGTTTTGAGAGTGTGCCGCGTGCAAGAGTTGCCGTGTGCAAGAGAGCACCATGTGCAAGTGGCTTTGTTTACTTTTTACCGAAACATGACACAGCAGTGTATAATACAGTGTATTCTGTATTATTGTTGCAATGAATAAAATGTCTTTTATTTACGATATTTTTTTCCTCAATTTATTTGTGTCCTCCTTCTCATTGTAAAAAAGTTGATCACCTTAAAAAAAAAAAACCCACCAACATTTCTCACCAGATTTAGAAGAAGGACCATCCAGAAAATGACTGGGGAATGCTGCGCTTTTCCCTATGCCCAATAGTGGGATTCAATTTTTTTTTACTACCGGTTCTGTGGGCGTGGCTTGATGGGTGTGGCAGAGGAAGGATACTGTAAAATCTCCGGTCAGAGGTGGTATTTGCTGGTTCTCCGAACTACTCAAAATTTCTGCTACTGGTTCTCCAGAACTGTTCAGAAACCTGCTGAATATGCCTATGCCATATACAAATCAAATTAAATCAGTCACACATAAACCTCAGATCCATTTAGGATCTGAGCTAGGTGAGGGTGGGGTTATTTTTTGGCACAATGATGTAGAACAAGCCGATCATAGGGATTTAAGATTTGTCCAATTACAATAAATACAAAGAGTCTAACTCAGGGGTCTCCAACCTTGGCAACTTTAAGACTTGTGGACTTCAACTCCCAGAGTTCCTCAGCCAGCAAAGCTGGCTGAGGAACTCTGGGAGTTGAAGTCCACAAATCTTAAAGTTGCCAAGGTTGGAGACCCCTGGTCTAACTGGACATTGTAAACCTTGCAACCAACTATGACAAATAGATTCTAAAACTAGGAGGATATTGATTTTCTGCTCTTGTTGATGAGTACAACATGGCAAATAATTAGCCTGGAGCAGAGATGGTATTCAGCAGGTTCTGACCAGTTCTGGAGAATTGGTAGCGGAAATTTTGAGTAGTTTGGAGAACTGGCAAGTACCACCTCTGACTAGAGATTTTACAGTATCCTTCCCCTGCAACGCCCACCAAGCCATGCTCACAGAATCGGTAGTAAAAAAAAAAAAGGAATCCCACCAATGGACTGGAGTACTTTAAACTCTCTGGTACTTCTGTAGCTGGGGGACTTGTAAGGCAATCTAATCTAGCCCATCTGAGAATATGGCATTTAGTATTATTATTTTTTGGCTTGGGGCCCAAATTAAGCCTTGAATTGTGTCCATCAAAACAGCTACTTACTGTAATTGATAATAATATGGAGGGGGGGGGATTTTTCTGGCTTAATACACTAGAAACTTCTCAACCCTATTATTTTTTTTTGTGTGCATTTCTTACAAATCTCAGGTACACTGGTTCATTTAAGGAGTAGGGAGAGAGGACTAACTTAAATCTACAGGAAATATCCTAACCGAGATCATAGCTATTTTAATTTTGGGAAAATTAGAATATTGTAGGTATTCTATAGTATTATTAGTGGCTGGATAGATCTGAGATTTGTGTGTGAGATTCTTATTAGATTCATATATAGTATAGGGAAAAGAACATTTTTCTGAAAATGTACTATCTATTTTAGCATATTTTTACTTTACATATTTTCTTTAACTGTAACTGACAAGGTACTGGATGCCCTCTAGTGGTAACAACTTGCCATGTCTTCTAATCATATTTCCCCAATAAGGATTTCTTTTAACCATTTCAGCTGTGCAAATCCTTTGAAAAAAAGTGTTTCTGAATGCATAGGAGCACATACAAGGCGTCTCTTTTTCAAATGGTAAACCAGTGTTTCCAGGCGGTCTGGTGAACCTAGGAAAAGATGTGTCTTAACCGTTTCTAAAGAGGTGCAGGATTCGCACGCACCGTTTTGCGTATTAAGAAAGATTTGCATAATTCACAAGTATTCTACGAGAAAGTACCGTATTTCTTGAACTATAAGATGCTCCGGACTATAAGACACACATTAGCTTTAGAGGAGGAAAATAAGAAAATCTGCCTTCCAGCATCCATCCGGTATTCATCTGGCTAGCTTCCTTGCAGCAAACAGCAAACAGTCTGGTCAGCTTCAGCACATTATCGCAGCCCCGTGGTTCGTCAGGGCTCCGCTCCCTTGTGTCCACCATTGGTCAACTGAGCTGAGCTGCTGCCGCCAGCAGAGAATGCTGGAGCCTTCGCTGCAGGGCAGCTGATTGGTGAATGGATTTGCCCCCCCAGAATACCACCGATCAGCTGCTGTAGGCGGTGGGGATTGCCACCGTGGCCCATTCGTGCTCGCGGCCTGTTCACTGCTGCAGCCCGTTCACCACTGTGGCCCATTTGCCACCTCCTGCTCACCGCTGCCACCGCTACGGCCCATTCACCACCAATTGCTGGTGAACGGGCAGCAGTGGCAGCGATCATCATCTCCTAGAACAGTAGATCGCTGCCACATCAACCCCCTTCCCCCACTGCAATATTCGCTCTATAAGACGCACAGGCATTCCCACCCACTTTTTTGGGGGGGGGGGGGGGGGGGAAGTGCGTCTTATAGTCTGCAAAATACAGTAACTAAAATATTTGGATCTTTGCCCAGGATTCTTTGAAGTATTCAGAAAACCAGCCACCTTCCATAAGGATTATTTAGTAAAAGATAAAACTGAAAGTCTAGGTTTACTTAACCATGTGATTTATTTAACTGGAATGCTTTGCTTAATAACTTTGGAAAAGGTAGTCGTAAAATCAGGCACAATTCACCAAACAGCAGCTTTACCTAACAACAGAAATTCTGGTTCCAATTGTGGTCAAGTCAAAGACTCCCTCTATGTACATGTACATAATTGAATCTGGAATCTATTCTTCATGTCTGGCATTTGTTTTTTTTAAATATTTTCTGGATTTAAGGGCCTAAATTCTGCCAATTGGTTATATTTTTTTCCTATGACAAAGTTGCTATGTCTTTCCTCTCATTCCTAATAAACTGATCTTTACCTATTATTTAATAATATTTTAGTTGGTATGCATTTATACTTGGGCTACTACACACAACTGACTTCTAATACTGTCCACCTGTTATCTGCTTTTCATTTTATATTCCACTTTAGTATATTTGTTGTCTTTATTCCTAAATTACTTATGAAACTGCAATGTACCCTGGATGTTTGTTTTAAAAATTATACATTGTATTGCTTGATTTTCACATTTACAGCATTATTTCCATTCAATTTTAACTTTTACTTTCATAATTTAATTTCTGCTTTTCCCTGTGTATTACTGTGCTACATTGTTCCAACACTTATTTTTAATAGATACTTTGAACCCCCGTTTTAATAATTTAATACAAAATTTGACCAGAGTATCTTAAAATATTTCACAGAGATGAAGACTACAGTACAATGGGAGACAGGTATTTCTCAAAGAAACATTTGTTAGAAATTCCCTGAGCTTCAAGCAATTTCATCTGATTTTGAAAGAGCAGAAGGAAATATATTTTCTTAACTGGCTTTCATTTACTGGTTTCCATTTTCTTGTAAAAATGAATGATAAAGTAACAAGCATTCATTGTAATAATTTTAACTGGCACACCACAACTTTAAAAACCAATAGTTAAACTGTTGTCCTAAATCCCTGAAATATAGTTTTATTATAAGGTGATAAAACCTCAGAGAAGCTATTCATAGCAATTTGATCTCTTTGTAAGAAACAGATGATATAAATGGACTGATTTCACTTTATTGATTACCTTGTTCCTACAGAGCTTATAATTTGGATTTTCAAAAGCTGTTTTCTTTACATTATTTGTATTTTCCCGATTTGCATCTTTCAACCTGAAAACCTGAGATTTTATAAAGCGCAGCTTGGGAAACTGGATGCCAGGAGCAAATCTTCATTCCTATGCATATTTTTCTGACATCGGTTCAGTGTATATCTACCTGGCTATGCCCAAATTAGGGTATGGATCTAATGATATAACCTCTTTATGGCAGAGAGAGAGAGAAGGAGTAATAAATACATGATTCACTCACAAATGCACATCTCTAGATTGAATTTTTATTCCCCATCTACATCAGAGAATGAAAACAAGCACTATTTCACTTGGGGAAACAACAATATCAGTGCCAAATCCAGCTGCAACCCCCACCCAAGATATTTGTCCATTTTGAAAAGATTGGTTGAACATAACTCATCCTAACCATAACTGTTCCACAGTAAGGCTTATATTAAGTATTCAGGTTGTGAATATTAAATACATCAGGCAATCAAACTCTTCACCTGCCTTATTAAGGCATTTGAAAACCATCTTTGTCTCTGCAGTGCTTATTTGATCAATTTTGTTTGTTTGTTTTGCTTTGTTTGTTAATGTATTTAGTATCTAACCCTTAGAAATCCATTATTTTGGAAATAAAGAAATACTTTGTGTTGGTCAGTTATGTCCTTGGGTTAGAAATGCTGCACCCTGGAAAATAAAGAAGCTGGAAGCACCATCTACTTCAATTTAACTGACTCCCACAACAACTATGTCTAATCTACAATATGACTTCCTAAAAACGTTTGGCATCAATCAGAAGTGGATTTCAGCTTATCCACCAAAAAGCCCGATGGTTCATATAGGGCTATGGAAAACATTATGCAGTATCATGGGATACTTATCAAGAAAAGCAATTGAGTCAGATCAGCAAGTCTGAGGTATTTGATGTACTTCCTCCTGCAACTTCAAACTACCTTTTTCTTTTGCAGACAGCCAAAGAACAGCAAACTCATTGATATTATATCATCCCTTGGACAGGTCATAGAAATTCTGCAGCTAACATACAATTCCACCTGCTGTCTAGCATCTCCCAGCACCAGAAAGATTCTTAAGGGCTGTTAGTGACCAATAATAAAAAATATAAATGAAAATACTTAGAATGCACCATATAAACAAGAGATTATCTTGTACTACCCTCAACCTGATTATACTGTGCACAATGCATTTTCATTATCCTGAGATAGATACTACCATTTTTTGCCTGGTATGGTAAGCTATAAGGACTGTATCATATCACACAGGTGATTTCACAATTCTGCTATAGAAGGAGGTCTACATTTTTCCTGACTATTCATCCAATTACCTACTAGCGGTTCTCCTACATATAATTTGTTTCACAAAACAAAGTTAAGTCTTGTAAACATTTATATTTAGCTTAACATATTTATCTGAGTAGTCCTTGGGTGTTAATCAGTTGTTGGTAGCTGGCTATATATCGTATAAAGTAGTGCAACTCTTCCTAATTTTAGAATGCGTATACCTGAAAATAGGATAATAAAAACATATATTCTCCACATTTGGAGATGGGAGGAGAATCGTAATAATTTATTCTCAGCGTAATGCACATCAGAAGATCTACCTTAATTTTCCTATTAAGATGTAGACCTATATATAATAAACACAAATGATGTTTCAAGTTTTGCAATTGTTTTATCAAAGGCATCTTCCTAGTGCTTCTAAGGAAAACAAAAACAGGCCACTATGAATGTTCTACTAGAAAACAAAACTAAAAAGTAGTAGGATTTGCTGATAAATTAATAAAGGCTTTATCTCCACTGTTCAGTTATGGCACAAGTGATAGAGGTGTTTGCAAAGCACCAGCCAAGGCTTAAGGTTAATCACCCTTCCCTAAAGGCATTCATTCCACAAGAACCAATCTACCAAATTCTTATTCTACTACAATTGTTAACATACATCTGGAATTCAGTCACTCATATTGGACATTTCTGATGCATTCAACATTTTTTTTTTTTTGGTTTTGAGTATAGGACCCATAGTCATATCCTTCACGTTTTAAGACTGTTACAAATCTGAATCTTTATTGTTCTGAAATGATAGAAACTTAAGACAAAAACCTCAAATTTTCAGTCTCAGAAGTGTGTGGTTCAATGCCCTTTTCATGTGTAACAAGGCTTCCTTTAAAAATAAAAGGAAAAAAAATGACTAAAGTTCATAAGGATGTGAACGCAATCCTTGGTTTTGAATCAGTGTTTGTAGATTGGGCATCACAAGATCCAGCGTTCTCTTCACAGCTGCTCTTGCTATGATGCTTGGCGATCTTTTTGCCATTCCACAAATTCATCAAGAAGAACAGGCCCTGGGAGGGAGAAATGGCAATTACAAACTGCAGTACGTCAGAGGAAATTCAGACTTTCTGGCAGTGGCAAAGACAACATATTCCAAAGTGGATGATCAATCATTCTTTTAATTAATTTGTTGTGCTTTTGTGCCACTTCATTTTGACTCTGAGACCTAGGAACTCTATAAACAAACTAGAAAGCAATCTACTATCATTACAACCTTAGGCAAGACTTTTTTTTAATCTGATACTGAAAATTAAGAATTTTTTTTGACAGTTTTGTGATTTATAAGTAGCCTAATGAGGAAACATGTCCTAACATACAATTTAGATTTTTCTTTCCTCATGTCTTGAGACATATTCTTTGTATATTTGCAGAGCCATACGTTAGCTTAAAATATGCTGACATATAACTATGTTCATTTTATTTAAAAAAAAAAAAACAGCTGAAAGAATTCTTGAAACAATGTTCTACACTGTACTACTCCAGTGAGAAAGCATGGAAAATTGACATTAATGACAATACTAACCACATTTTATCAACTCTACCTCATGTTATTTGCCAATATGTAGTACTCTGCAACTATACTGCCAGCCTATTGCTACTGGTAGCAGAGATTTATTTATTTTTTAAAATACTAGGATTGGAAAAATGTTTGATTTTTTTTTATTTTAAGCAGATAAAAAGATAATACTTCAATTTATGGAAGAAATAGGAACACAATGAACCTTCTTTTTCCCAATTCTTACTGCTAAAAAATGAACCATAGCCCAATTTATCCATTTCAGAATTAGGCCTTGTCCACGCATTTGCATTGGATCTTTCATTAGTAAATGTTCAGAATTGGAAGCAAACTATATATTTTGATTATAAGCTGACATATATGGCCTTCTGTGAACAGAGATTATTAACCTTTCTGGCTTTTCCCCTCCCTCTATAAGTGGTGACAAGTAGTAATATTTTTTGTAGAATAACCTTGCAACAAGATTTATCAGGAAAACAAAAGGCTGAAGACAAGCTTTATGCTAAAACTGCAATAAGTCAGCTTGCAGAATGAGAGCTACAGATAAATATAGACAGGAATGCTCTACAATAAAATTTATAAAATGAATGTCCTCTTTGCTGGAAAACTCTTGAGCCACTTATTCCTTCAATAAACCCAAGGTAAGATAGAAAGCAGCATGCATTTTGATATTATATTCTTCAGTTAAAGATTTATTTCACCTGAAATTTGAGAAGAAATTTATTCTCTCTCTATGCTTTTCCTTAGCAAAAAAAATATAATTATCTGTCTATCTCTATCCACCAACTCTAACCAAAACCTACAAAAAACATAAGGTTATTAAGAAGGTGGTGGGATTTTAATTAAATGCCATAAATGAAATGGAATAGAGATAGTTCTTGATTTACAACTGTACCTGAGCCAAGCATTATGACTAAGTTGTGTGGGTTGTTAAGCAGGCCACCGTGAGACTACATCCAAATTTTATTACTTTTGTGGCAATTGTTAAGCAACCGATGCGGTTGTTAAGCAAACACCAGTCATTAAGGGTGTTGGGTGAACCTTTTTACCAATAGCCATTTTTTTTCCTGGAAGTAAATGCTGGAAACCGCCCCCCCCCCCCCCAACCAAAAAAAAAAAAGGGCAAAAAATCATGGTCTCAGGATGCTGCAAACAGACATAATTGCCAAGTGCCAAAATGCAATCATGTGACCATGGCCAGGTGTGAACTTCAAAATCAGGTTGTAAGTAGTTCTGGGGAGGATCAGGGTAACTGCAAAGTTACTAAGCAACTTAAGTGAGGACTACCTGTATCTAGATTCCTTTTACTCAGTTCAAGCTTGGGCACAGAATAGAAGCTGCATTGATTTCTCTGTGGATTTTTTTGTCAGGACTTGGATAGGAGGATGAAAGAGTCTACTTGACTTATCAATATCATCAACCATGGTACCTTTTCAGCTTTCTCCAAGGGTTGGAGGGTCAGGGGCACTGATTTGCACTCTTTCAACTTCTTAAATAGATGTGCCAACTGAGCGGTTCTCTAGGAGTCAGCTGTCTTTCCTGTCTTCATTAACATGTGCAGGAAAATGCTACTTGTCCACTAGGATAGTCAGTTGTACATCTCAACACTGGATAAAACTACAGATACAGAGAAATCTTGATGATATGTTTAAAGGCTCTTGAGGGGAAATGTGTGAATTTGAACCCCAACAAGGTGGAGTTGTTATCTGACCACAAATTGTAAAACTGTTCCAGTTTTAAGTTTGGATGAGACTTCCCCCGAAGAAGCAAGTTCACTTCTTGAAAGTCCTTCCAGATTTAACATCTATTATTGCTTTTTCAAACAGAAGTTATGTCTAGGGTGAGGAAGGGGATGGGATTTCAATAGGTTTGGAGTATAATTAGAAGTGCTGCTTTCATCTACAAAAGCCCTATCTAGTTAATCTTCCAGGTATCTTGAGGACCACCTCTTCTAGGTGGAAGTAATCTAATCAGCATGCTTGCTTGCTTATTTATTTAGCATATGGCAAAAATGTTAAAAAGCATTTCACAATTACATTCTCAATCAGCAAATATGAAACTATTTACTCTATTTAGTATGCTTGCTGGTGCATATGAGTTAAAAGAACAGAAGGCCTGTTGCTCTAGGCTACTCTAAAGCCTAGCTGGCATCTACTTTGACATCTTTCCAGAAAGTTACTATATCAGGACCTTTTAATTGTAATTTATTGCTATATAGCTTAGGTTGCTTGTCATGGTTATCATTATTTTTATCCTATTAATACTATTTCATCTTGTTTTATTGACTGGATTTTATTGTGATTTTGATTTATTTATACTATAAACTGTCAGGTGATTCAATTCAACAGTATAGAAATATGAATAATAATATACACATGCAGCTATTGAAGACCAAGACATGTGCAAAATAATACATATATATATATAATTTAAAGATATTATCATCTGAATGGAAGGCAACAAGGACCTGTTAAGTATCATATAAACATATTTGAAAAGGAAATGGTAGAGGTGATGTAGCAAAACAAATATCAGCCCAGCATATCAAAACCACAATATTACCTAGTCATGAAACAGGCAAGCAAAGTCCCATAATTCAAGAACATTCAATTCATACACCATCCTAGTACAGTTACTCAATATTGTGTTGGAAATGCCATTATTTTTGACTGATTCATACAGATACAAAAATAATCAATTAAACTAGACTTTTTAAAGTTTTGTATATCCTGAAGCACCACAGAAATTAGTATGTTCAACAAGCACAAAGCTCCAAAAAGAGATTAAAATGAGATGTTAATTCAGATTAAATTTATTCTTAAGGCATCCTGCACAACTATATTCTCCCTATTGTAGAAAACTGAAGAAGTTTAAAAATATCTTTCATTATAAATAGCAATAGCACTTAAGATTTTTATACCGCTTCACAGGGCTTTACAGCCCTTTCTAAGCGATTTACAGAGTCAGCATATTGCCCCCAACATTCTGGGTTTTAATTTTACCGACCTTGGAGGGATGGAAGGCTGAGTCAACCCTGAGCTGGTCAGAATTGAACTAATGAACTGCTTGCAGCAGTCAGGCAGCAAAAGTAACCTGCAGTACTGCATTCTAACAACTGGGCTCTTGTATAGGTATAAATAAAATATATACCCATACATCAAAACATGCTGATCAGCATATATGAAACATTTTTGTCTAATTACATTAATTGGATCGGATGCTATTATTTTTATGTGATCCCAACACTGTATCCCTCTAGAGCAGGGGTGTCAAACTCAGGTCGTCGTGTCAACACCAGGCGGGGGCAGGGCCAGCACGGGACGCATATGGTCCGCGGGCTGTGAGTTTGACACCCCTGTTCTAGACTAGAGGATCTAAATAATATCAAAGTACAATATTGTTTTAATCTGGAAAAAAATGTTGTGTTCCAAGCTCAAACAATCATTATGAGTATTCCAAGAATGAGATAAAACTTGGATCTCTGGGGAGGCATCACTTTGTGTTCTGACTGTTCCGAGTACTGCAATTTAGTTGTTATTTAGAGGCTTGTCACAGGGTTGCTATATATCATATTTTGCCCAGCCTAAGTAGTACAATTTATCGGCTTATACTGCACTTGTTGATGAGTCAAACAAAAGAAGGTTTATTATATCTGCATCTTTTACCTCTTACATCTGTCTTACCACCCTTACTTTTTAAAGTTTGCTATGGTTGGCGGCTTCCTTCTGTGTTGTACTTTGCTTCATTTTGTAGATATATAACACAATGCTCCATGTGTCAATACTAGTTTCAGTGAAACACAAATATCATTAATGTTGCTGAGATGGTTAATAAAATGTTGGAACTGGTTGACTTCTTAAAATGTGTGTGCAAGTTAAACTTTGTGCATGCATGTTTTCACGTTATCATAAAATTATTAATCAAATGCAACTCATCTAAGCATCAGCAATCATCTTATTTTCTGCAGCCTGCAACCATCCCAAGTGCCAGCAAAAATACCAGGAAAGAAAAATCCAGTGGCTCTGTAGAATTGCATTTGGCAAGAATGGTAAAAAAAAAAAAAAACCAAGAATGCAAACAAACCCAGTAGTGCTTACAAAGTGACCAAGACAATGGCTTCTTTCAAAAGAAAAAGAAAAAACCCCCAAAATCAGAACATTAAGAAAAAAAACTTGTAAGATGTACTAACTAACAGAAACTTTCAAATATTCAGCTGATCTTCTTAGTCTGTAATCTACTGGGTTTATTTAAGGACAATTTTTTCTATTGGGTGGTACTGGTTGTAATAAGTGTATAATCTAGACAGATTTTTCAGTGGAAAAAAAAGTTTTGTTTTCATAGCTCATTTTAAATTTTCAGAAATTTTAAAAATCATCCCTTTGACCAAATTTTGTGCAGTAGGCAACATTTAGTGTGGAGTATTATTGCTTGTGAGGCCCTGGGTAAAAATAGAAAAGCAACAATTGGTCCTGAGTTATCATTCTTTCTCATGGGAAAAACACTAACATTTTAGAGTTGTTTTTCCAAAGGGACATGAACAGTCAAGCTGCAGCAACTTTTGTTTCCACTAACATGCTATAGCAAAGTCTTTTGGTGTAACATTACAAGCAGGGCTGTTTTGTTCCAAGCTTGAAATAAAACATATGTCACACAAACCTCTATAATTCTACCCAAACCTCCTATTTATGCTTTTTATTTTCATATGAATCTGTTTCAACCTCTTTAGAACTCTACTGGAAACTGAAACTTGCAACTGAAACCCTCAAAAAATAATGAATATAGAATACTCACATGCCCCATCTTCATCATAGTTGCTAAGATCCGCATGGACAGTTCTACTGAATTCTAATACATTGTACCACTGATCTTTGTTAATTACTTTGTATTTTGACTGCTGCAGAAAAATAAGAAATGTTATCATTTAATATACATTACAAGAATTATATACTTAAAAAAAAGAATTTATAGCATATCAAGAAATGCTTGAAGAAAAAGTAAGCTTCCATGTGAATTTAATCTAAATCTATTTAAAATAGATTTCTATTTTAAATTGCCAAGTATCATTGCCTTTATTTTGAGAGAGATATTTGGCAGAGAATAATGTACTGCATAGATTTATTTGGAAATACAAAATGTGTACTGAAAATCTGAAAGCATAATAATTAAGAAGCATAAAAAATTGCAATCAGCGTAAAATATGTGAAGATGGATTAAAACATCAGTTTGATTTTTTTTCCTAATGCATTCCTACCTCCAAGTATTGGTAAAACACTGAAAACAGTGGCCATGTCCTTCCAAGAAGAAGTGCTAACATAGACTTTGCTGTGTCAATATCAAGACTTCGCTGATCTTTATCCTATAGCGGTTCAAAAAAGTATAATTTAGAAAATGTATCAATGCACAATTAAATCATTATTTCCTTAGATGATTCACTTACCCTTGCAAAGTCAAATGCATATCTGTAGATATTCTTAAATGTTGAAATGTCATTCAGTTGGGATCGCAAAAAATCAAATTTACTTTGCAGCTTTTCTGTACCGTCACATCTTAAATAAAAAATAAAATAGTTATATGTCAAATATTTGGGGAAAGGAAACATGTGTAGGGATGATTGAATACACAGGCTATCAGACTGTAGGGGTCTCAAGCTTGTGACTCCCAAGTCATTTTCTACACCCTACAATGTATGTAATCTTATATTTGCTTGTACATCAAATAAGAAATTCTCTATTGTTTAGTACATTTGAACATAGTACTTCTGAATTTCGAGCACTTCTCAAAAGACAAAATGAAAATGAATGGAGTGAACTCTCTAAATTATGATCTGGATTTTATGTACTGTATTAGATGTGTGGCTAACCTGGGATAGGGATAAGGTTTTTTAAATTTAATAAATTTATGTTTAATGACAGTCTGTGATACTCTTCTAAATTTTTGCCTCAATGGACCCTTTTGCTTTAGTGTATTCAGGCCCTGCTTTCTGCTTTTTTTCAGGTTCAGGGGAATATTAATTAAATACAGAAAATGGAGCATTTTCCTATGTATGTAATCATTCTCCCTTTCTGTTCATTACAATTTGCAACTTAATGATAGCTTTTAGAGGAGATCTGAAGGTTTCATCCAAGACATTGGAGGGGAGGGGTAACACAATAAAAAACACATTTGTAATTAAAAAAATTACATTAAAAATAAAAATTAAAGTTGTTTCAAAAATTCAAATGCTTTCACTGCATAAATAGATACCCTAAGAATAACCTTGGGAAGCTGCTCTATTCAGAATACCATAACAAGTATAAGAGCTTCATGATCCCAATATCTAGCCAGAAATGCTAATGGATTCTAGCCCTGCAGCCTTCAGTGCCATAAGTTAACTATAACACCAACAATAAAAGATACTCTTGCTTCAACTGATGATGTTACCTAGTTAGGATAATGAAACGTCTACAAGAAAACAAGCAAGCTCAGAGAGCACCAAGGACTCATCATTTCAAGCCTGAATAACAAATATTCACCTTTATAGATATTTGATAAGAATATTTATTCATAGCTCACCACTTTTAGAATTTGAAGCTAATTTCATTCTATTCTCCTACTTCTGTCTCTTCTTTCCTTCGAGGAATATTATTGCCCAATCAGGTACTCTTTTACTCAGGTTACAGACAGGAGAATTTTAGTAGTATACAGTGACAGAAAGGCTAATCATTCAAACACATCTGAACTGTTCTGAGAATCCAGCAGAAGTAAATTGATTTTGACCATATGAAAACACCTGATTGGGTTGTGCAGGTTCGAGCATGAAATGTTCTTTGGAGCACACAAGGAAGCTCATATAATCTCTGTCTATATATCTTTAAATGAACTATGTGTTCTTAAAGTTCTTTAAATAAACTATGTGTTCTCCTTTAAACTATGTGCTTAAAAGAGTTGCACAAAGGTACTGCATGAGCACCTCTGCAGATGCTCTGAAGCATCTTTCTGTGCTCAAATCTGAAGCACTGCACAGCTCAAGAACACGAGCTGTCAAAAATGAGTATCTTTAGATTAAATTGAAAGATGTAAGATACAAGCAAAGTTAATCATATCTGCAGCATTTTGTTAAATGAAAATGTGTATATGTATCCAAATCTTTTGACTTATCAAAAATAACTTAAAATAGAAGTTCTTACTGTAATGAGGTCATCCCTTTTAGCCACTCTTCTTTTGTAAAAAATCCCATGCTTTCAGCCTCTAGTTTCCAGGCTAAAACTAGCATAATAATCTGTAAAAGAATAAAGGAATAAAAGTGGGCTCAGAGAGGGAAAAAGTCGAATTTACGAGAAACATTTTTAAAAACAGTGCTTGGCTGCAAAAGTTGTTCATCAGTCCAAATCTCTACTCTTTTCAAATGTGTTGGGACTACAACTCTCAAACAACTAAATTTCCATTTATATTTAAGGGTTTATTTATTTAATCCAGTTTGTACATCTCCTGGCTCCCAATGACTGTGGATGGTTCACAAAAGATATGTAAAAGTATAAAACAATAAAAATACAACAAAAATAGAAGTTGGCAAAACCAAGCAGCCACAAACACACACCCACTTCTTGAAGGGGACTACACCCATCTTCAGCTGGGCAAGAGACAGATCTTCAAGGCCTCCAAAATGCAAGAAAAGGATAGCCTCATCTGAAGCCTCTATAAGAAACTGTACCAAACCCTTTCCTGCTCTACCCTCCATAGCATTAAAATTTTCTCCCTAATTGTTTGTTGCAAGATCCTACCTTTTGAAAATCTTTTTGAAGTATCTCCGTTGTTTTAGAATGTCATACCCCCAGAAATGCACCAAAGATGCATCAGGCACCGTCGTTTTGGAGCCATCAAAACAATTTATCAAAATAAGTGAAATAAATGAAATACTACAAATACTTTTGGTGCCATCAAAACAATACTGATTGATACCAATTAGTAGTTTAGTAGGTTTTGAGTGGCCAACATTTTTTTGTTCCCTGATGGTGTGCTACATTTGATTTTTATCTGATGCTTGGAGAGCTATTAAAGATCTTTTCCTATAATCTTAGGAAAGCCTCCACTTAACCATGCAACATTAAAATGATCAAAAATGTGCTCTGGAATAGGCCAGGGGTTCCAAACTTGTCAACTTTAAGACTTGTGGACTTCAACTTCCAGAATTCTCCAGCTGGCTGGAGAATTCTGAGAGTTGAAGTCCACAAGTCTTAAAGCTGCCAAGTTTGGAGACCTCTGGAATAGACAGTGGCACATTAGGGTCATGCAGCTGCTCACTATAGCAGAATCCCCCCTAAAAGGTATACCTTTGCATACTTTTGACTTTGGAAGAAAATATAAAAACATAGAGGTATTATATAGAAAGTAGCGTAAAGAAGTTTCAGCACTTTAAGATCTGCCCATGTCCAAATGTATTAAGAAATTATAGGATTCCTATTGTAAAACTGAAATATTAAAAAACCCAATTTTTTGAAAGTTCATAATTTGCTAATTTGTTACAGTAAAGTTAAGAAACAGCAGAAAAACACAATGTAACCAAAGAATGGACAATACTTAAAAAACTAAAACACAAAAACCATTTTGTGGCTTACGTTTTCAGGTTCAACACCAATATCTTCACAGAATTTTTCCATTCCTTCAGGTCCTACAACTTCATCATCACCTTCAAAGGAAAAAAAAGACATATCATACTATATAAATTTGTATCACTCAATGGCCTATCAGAGCCAAAGCTGGAATAGGATGGGAAAAAACAGAGAAGTAGCAGACTGTACTCATGAGTCATTTCAGTGTTGCATATAGTTTCCTAATTACACCATATTCAAGATGTTTCATCGAGATCAGTTTCTGCCATCCAATGTACAGTACCAGTTTTGAATGATTAATTTGCTTTAAAAAAGAACATGTAAGGTATGTTCATACGTATATATGTGAATTGGAAGCAGTATCATAATTTGCCCATATCTATATAATAGGAGACATATGATGTTCATACAATTATAAAGAAAGACTGACAATCATTTAAGGATTTCGGGATCAGATTAGTACTTTTTCTATGAATATAGGAAAATATATATTTAAAAAATTGCACTTCATAGTGCAACTGAATATATTATGCTCTTTAACAAATTCAGGTTTCTGCAGCATTATATTTTTTGACATAATGTTCTCCTGATGTGAATTTGCATTCCTGCTGTCCTGGATAAATAATTAATAATCTCATACCTTTGGACCTTAAGGGGTTTTATTTTGACCAGTCACTATTTCTCAACTCAATCTAATTTTCTGAGAGGATGAAATGCTTTGTATCCATGTTTATTGTTAAAAAGGAAGAAACATATTTTGGCTTCATAAAACTAAAGTATTCCTCTGTTTTAGGCATATTTGGTAGGCGTACTTGGACTGATTAGGATGCTCTATGTACTAAACTACAGTTTGCTTAAATGACGTTTGTTGAATAAGCAACTGTTAGTGTGGATCATATATTTTGTTAGGCCATAAACCTTAGTTTGCAAGCTTCCATGAATAGATTTATACCATTCACCTACCTAGAGCCAAACAAATCAGAATATTCAAACAGATTAAAAAGTTACAACATAGCTCAATATGTAAACAACAGAATTTTACACCTGAGAAACTCCTGTCTTATGTTCATCTCTCTAACCCAAGAACACTCTTTCTTTTAAAATACAGGTACTCCTCAACTTACAACAGTTCATTTAGTGACTAAAGTTACAACAGTGAAAAAAGTGACTTATGACTGTGTTCAACACTTACAACTGTTGCATATCCCCATAGTCACATGATCCAAATACAGATGCTCGGCAACTGGTTCACATTTATGTTGGCTGCAGTGTCCTGGGGTTATGTGAGATCACCTTTTGTGACCTTCTTATAAGCAAAGTCTATGGGGAAGCCAGATTCATTTAACAATTGCAGCGATTCACTTAATAACTGAGGCATGAAAGATCGTAAAATGAGGCAAAATTCACTTAACAAATGTTTCACTTAGCAACAAAAAATTTGGGCTCAATTGTGGTCCTAAGTCGAGGAACTACCTGTAGTGTGGTGACATCAGTCCCCATGTTATATTTAAACATTTTTAAACAAATGGTTAGTTTCACATTAAAGAGGATATAAGCAGAGCACAGTCCTAGTATTACTAAGTAATTGCATTAACCATGCATTAGTTTCATACCTGCATATTCATAAAACCAAGCCAGGCACTTCTTGCTTGAAAAATGCTCCTCACCACTTATCACTTTATTAGAAGCTGGTGACCTGCAATAACTTAAATACATATTTAAAAAGATGTTGGTAAACTTGCTATTACTTTAAAAAATCCCCAATTATGGCTTATTAATAGATAACCATCTAGAAAATACTTAAATTTGCAGCTTTAATTAGTACTTTTAACATATTTTCTAGGGAACAAGCTATCCTTGCTTTCGAAGTACAAAAGTGATTTCTTTTTTCCCTTTTCTGGATATTCTCACAACCCATTCTAAACTTGAAAGAATTACAAGCTATGCAACAGACCAAGATTTAGTTGTTTTATTCTGTCAAGTTTTTTTAAATCATTAATTTGCAAAATAATAATTGAATGCATTTAATTCATTTTACCTGCCCTTGAGTGATTCAGTATTTGCTATGCTTGTAATACAAAACTGCGGGCAAGTGTTACTACCATTGAAAAGTCTGACAATTGTAGCTCACATATATGCATTTATACTGTAATCTTCATAGTATATTAAGTTACTTACAAAATGGCTGCTATGATAAATGATGAAATACATTTATTATAAAGAAACCTGGAAAATGTTGCTTCTTGCTATCTCTTCTTTTTCTACATATTCTTTATTATCTAATATTTTGATGAATATAAAAAAGCTCAAACATCTTTCATTTCTTAAAGAACATCTAGCTCCCTGAAATAACCTGTGCTATTTTTCTTTGTATTTTCTGTAATGCTTTCTATAATGAATTTTCTGTAATGCTTTCTATAATGAATTTTTTAGCAAGTTGCAGAGAGCTATTCTCTTCTATTTTAAAAGTAAAATTATGGTTTCATTTCATCACTTTTTCAAGAAACCTAAGTAACAATAAGCTAAAATGAAGTGCAATTTAATGTGGAGAACATCATGGATGCATCTGCCCTCTCAGATGTTACTATTTCAAAGCATCCTTTTCCATTAGATCATAATCTGAAACATCTGTCATACTATATATGATGCCTAACTGGTTTCATTATGCTCGTTCAATAGTTATATTATCTTTAGTCCAATATGTACCCTTTCACTATTGATTGCAGCAAGTTTTAACTCTGCAATTTTAGAGCTATGGTCCACGTAACAGTTTAGTTGGTATTCAAGGAACAGGTAGAACATGTTCTAACAGTACAACTTTATCCATGTATATTTAGAAGCCTGTCACACTGAATTTAACAGTATTTGCACTCCTAAATAGCAGCTTTAGGAGAGCGCAAAGGGAAAGAACAGTGCAGTTACCTTGACTTTTTATAGTAGATTGAAAAAGCTGTGATTAGACTTTGGGGCCAATGTTTGTGTTTCTGAACAGAATTCAACTTTTACATTAATTATCAATCAACTGGCAAACATTTCTGCAAATATATGAATAAATTATATATTTAAAACAAAACACTGATTCATTACCACACAATATATAAGCAGAGAAACTACAAAAGGTATATTGATGCATTCCTTTCTAGTGTAAACTTAAAAGATATTATGTCAAAATCTACACTTATCTTTTTTATATAATTTGTCTCTAACAGTATTAAAAAGATGAAGTCTGTAAGAATTTTTACACATTTGATGGAGTGTAATTCTTTGAGCACTTTCATTACATTTTGACTTGTACTTGAAAAATAATGGCTACAGAATTATAGGGGTAAATAGACATGTTGACTTTTTCTGTTCAATCATGTCAAATTCTCAGAGACTGGCTGAACAATTCCCTGAAGTTTTCTTGGCAAGTTTTTTTCAAGTGGTTTGCCCTCTTCCTAGAGCTGAAAGAAAGTGACAGGCCCAAGATCACCCAGCTAGATTTGTGTCCAAGGCAGAACTAGAATTCTAGGTCTCCCAGTTTCTACCTTGATGCCTTAACCACTACACCAAGCTGCCTCTCTGCAACAGAGTAAAAACATAAAAAAGTACATGATTAATCAACCTTGCCCCAAGATGGATGTCCCTAAGCAACTGACTAAGATTAAAAAAACACAATCCCTAGTGGAATATAATTGCTTTAACAATTTTATGTAGGGGCGGGAACTTAATGAACCTGGGGAGTGGGTAAAGAATTCCAAAGTGCTGGGAGGCACACCACAGTGGCCAATATTGAATTTTGGAAAGTCTGTACTTATGATAGAAAATGTCAAGTTAAGAGATAGTGAAATCTGTCTGGCCTTCATTCAGTTTATATGCCAACTTGCTTCTCCAACCAGCTAGCAAAAATCAGAATATGCACACATACACATTCACTTTTCAGTGGATAGCATATAAATTATATTGTGTATGTGTATAATGTTTTTATACACACACACACATATATAGTATGTGTACACATGCATATCTGTATGTATGTATAGGTGTATGTCTGTATGTATAAATGAAATCAGCTGAAGCTGAAATTACACTATTTCCTAACCAACCTCCTTACAAACATGTTGGGCTGCAACTCCCATCATCATAAGGCAACATGTTTTATTTCATCCTGTCCATAGGCACCTGGAGAAGGATAAGGGGAGGAGCAAATAATACATGCAACATGATGTCAGCAAGCAAATTACAGAATTTATATACTTGACTGGATGCCATTTTATCCTTTATATAACAACACATGCTGTTATTTTAACACCATGTGCTTTGTTGTAGATGCCACAGTAGGGTCTGCTTGGGTGGAGATGACTTCACTATTCTCCATTACAAATCATTCAAGGATCTTAAAATCACTAGTGCAGACCAAGCAAGATTAGAGCTGAGGAAGGCCTTTTGAAAGATTATAGTCATTGTGCAGACTAACTTTCCCCTACATGGTACTCCCAGGATGTTCACAATTTCAGCTCCCATACAACCCAGTCAGCAAGGCATTGAATTCTTGCTAATGGGTAAATTTAATCCATTGCACTTTGAAGGCAGTACTTAGGAGAAAGTTGCTACAGAATCATCAGTGAACCTACCAGCCCTTTCAGGCACCAGCAGTAAGAAGGGGGGACAAAAAAAAAGTCACCCTAAGAAATGTGCAATTTTGGCCAAGGAGGTATGAAAAACGCACTTCCCTAAGAGACTAGGAGAGGAGGAAAAAGACTAAGGATGGATGAGAGGCAGCAATTAGTTTAAAGGCAGATTCAATTTTGTGTGTGTGTGTGTGTAAGGTGGGGGGGGCTGATGGCAGTACCTGACACCTCCACCTTTCCTCACCTGTGTCACAAAAAGGTGACCAGCAATTGCGGGGGTGGGAACGGAAGGACCCCCCTCCTCAAATTGTAGAGGCCCCTTAGGGGATCAAAAAAGAAAAGCGGTCGTCGCCGTCACCGCCTCCTCCCTCGAGGGGGGTCTCTCGAGCCGAGGCCCCCAACCCCCTACCCAGGCTGACCGGCCCCAGAGCCAGAGGAGGGCCTGTCCCCCCGGCAGATCCAGTACCTGCTGATTTTACATTTCTTGAGGCCCGACTCGTCGCCCGCCTGCCCCGAAGATTTGCGCTTTTTTTTCACGGGCATTTCCTCTGTTCACCGTAGAGCGGAGCGAGCAGAAGACGTGGGGAGCCAGGCCCTCCAGCGTGCCCCCACCCCACCCCCGCTTCCCGGGCGATGAGAGCGACCACCACCGCCGCCGCCGCCGCCTCTTCCGTCCTCGGCTGTTGCGAAGAAGCGGCGGCTCTGGCTGCTGCTGCCGCCGCGCCCGCTTCGTTCTCCGGCCCTTTTCCTTCCCTCGCTCGGCTGCTACCGCCGGGGTGCCGCCAGGGCCAGCGCGGTGTGTGTATGTGTGTGGTGGGGGCACGGACCGTTCGACGCTGAGGTGGAAGCAGCCGCGGCGGCGGGGAAAGCCGGCAAAGCGCAGAGGAGTCGCGAGCGTGTTGCGCCGCCCTGACACGAAAGAGGCGGGAGCAGGAAGTGACAGCGACACGCCGCCACCGCCGCCCCCCTTGACTGGCACCCACTCGCCCCGCCTCCTCCAGGGCGGAGCTAAGAGACGGGGACGGCGCCGACGCGTGATTAGCCCCGCCTTCTGGGAGCATTTGCGCGCGTCACTAGAAAGAGGTTGTGACGTGAATCGGGAGTGGGGCCGGGGAAAGGGCGTGAATTTCTCCCTGGGGCGGCTTGTGAGCCTATAATCAGGGCTTTCCCCCAGACGTGCGTGATCAGGCATCGTCCTGCCTAATTCAGCAGAGGTCTTTTCAGAAGCCAGAGGGCTTAGTCCTTGATTCACAACAGTTCTCTTAGTGACTCTTCAAAGCCATTTGTCAGAAATGGCGTAGGGTCTCCTGCTTGGGTGGGTAGGTGGGTGGGTTGGACTAGATGACCTATAAGGTCCCTTCCAACTCTGATTATCTGTCTGTTAATCTGTTAAATTACAAGGGCGCTGAATAAAAGTGACTTTAGGACGATTTTTCACTCTTCCAACCATTGCAGCATCCCCATGCTGACGTGACTTGCATTAGGATGCTTCACAACTGACTCACATTTATGACGGCTGCAAGCGTCTGTAGTAGTATGATCCCCTTTTGTGACCTTCTGACAAGCAAACTCAAAGGGGAAACCAGATTCATTTAATTGTGTTACTAATATAACAGCTGTGATTCACTTAACGTGGCAAATCATAAATTGGGGCAAAACTCACTTAGCAACATCAGTTTTGGGCTCATCTGTGGTCCTACGTTGAGGACTACCTGTATTCCCAGCTACTGGTTGGGCTTTCATCTCATGCCCAGCCATGGTTAACTTGCTTGGTTTATTTCTAATTAAACCATAGTTCTCTGAGCTTACAAAAATTCTTAAGCTATGGTTTAAATAGTTGGGGGTCAAACTTTGCAAACCATATGATGGTGATGAAGCTGAATCTCATTGATAGTATTGTTGTTTTTAATATGGCATACAGCCATAAAAGCATGTATTTGGATTTGTTTGCCACCCAGAGTTACATGCCCATAATTTTAGTGAATTCTTAATTTATTGTATGTTTAAATACATTGTTGGGCAAGTCATTTTCACCCAGCCCTAGAACGAGGGCAAGGGTAAAAATCATTTCAGAAAATATTGCCTAGAAAACTGCAGGGACTTTATGTCTAGTCAAAATGACCTGCAGGCAAAATAAATATTATCTTTTAAGTTAAAGAGGCCATTGGGAAAGATATGAAAGAACTGTTAAGGAGATTCTTGAAGAAAAAATTATACACAATTGAGACTGAAGCAACCTTGAAAAAAGATAATGATTTTGTTTAGTACAGTATACTATGGGCAGATAAAAACTTGGCAGGTTTTCAGTATTTTATTATTTATCCTATAACAATAAAGTACTGTATTTTTCAGAGTATAAGACGCTCTGAAGTATAAGACACACCTAGCTTTTGGGGAAGAAAACAAGAAAAAAATGTTTGCCTCTTCCTCTGCCTCCCAGCAATTTATTTGTCAAACATGTACAAGATAACAAGTATAAGTATGAATATAAAGAACAAGGGAATAAATACAGATAAATGGGGACAGTAAGAATTTGCTTCCATGCAGCAAACAGCAAATAGCTAAGTCAACTTCAGCACAGCCTGATTAGCACAAACAGCTGATTGTCGGTTGGGGTCCTGACAATCAGCTGTTTCAGGCTGCAGGGATTGCTATCAACTATTGCTGCCTCCACGTGCCCCATTTTGGCCTCTGTATCCCATTTTCAGCCTCCACACACCCCATTTTAGGCCTCCACGTGCCCCATTTTCAACCTATTCTGGGAGGTGGGGATTGGAACGGGTGGAAAATGGGGTACGCAGAGGGCAACAATGGGGCATGTGGAGGCCAAAAATGGGATGTGGAGGCCGAAAATGGGGTGTGCGGAGGCGGCAATAGGCGATCCCTGCAGCCTGAAACAGCTGATTGTTGGGATCCAACTGACAACCTGCTGCTTGTGCTAATCAGGCTGTGCTGAAGCTGACCAGGCTGTTTGCTGCAGAGAGGCAAATTGCTGGGAGGCAGAGGCCAAAGGGTGGGTGTGGGTGCATGAGGCTTTGGCAACATTCACTATATAAGACGCAGACATTTCCACCCACTTTTGGGTGTATTAAAAGTGTGTCTTATACTCCGAAACATATGGTATGTAACATTCTTGGAATCCCTGTAGTCTTTCCTGACTTGGTCTACTTTGAAGGGCTGACATCAGTCTTTGAAAGCCTGAACAATGCTGAACAAAATCAAGGCATGCTTTCATCAGTTTTTCCAGTACGGGAGAATATAAAAATTTCTTTATGGTAAGGCAATTAGAGTAATATGAATGGAAAAAGACAAAGGGATTTGTATTATATTATGCTGTATCATTTAGAGTGGTATATATAACAACTCTCCCCAATTTGTTATCCTACAGATATATTAAAGGGTGTTCCCATGATACTGCACCATGGACACCTGGAGCATGACATTTGAAGGTTGATGATTCTAAACAGCATCATGTTGGGACAGGCACCTGTACAGTCTCAGCATTGAGAAAAGAATAGTTAATTATATGGATTCAGTTTAAAAGATAGTTAAAATAAAACATATTTTCCTTGATGACAAACTATACAAGCATTACATAGAAGCATGATGTCTGGTATTCAAAAATGTCCAGTGCATAGTCAAAGCATAGTTAACTGGTGTGATGGTTAAATTGCAGGGGCACAACCAGTGAGGTCCAGGTTTTGTAAACCATATGAAAATAGATTGTATAATGATTTAGGGATAAGCATAAACTTTCAGCTCTATTTACTTCACAGAATTATGAAGATTAAATCTGAGAACTTCATGCGTACCTCCTCAAGCTGCTATCAGAAAGATTGGTAGCTGAAATAATCCACATGTGCTCTCAGAAATGAATTAAGGTGTTGTGGTGTTTTGTCTAGGCATTATCTGCTGTCTTCAGATCACGATAAATGGTTTGTAGTTGTGGTTTTATCCTCTAACCAAGGAATACAACAAAACAGGAACTTACCAAATTTGCAGATGATACTAAACTGGCAGGAATAGCTAATGCCCAAGAAGATAGGCTCAAGATCCAGATGGATCTTGACAGACTAGAACACTGGCCCGTATCGAACAAAATGAAATTCAATGTAGAGAAAAGTAAAGTCCTACACTTAGGCAAGAAAAAACAAAAGTACACATATAGACTGGGTGAAACCAAGCTCAATAGCAGTAACTGTGAGAGGGATCCTGGAGTCTTAGTGGACAACCAGCTAAATATGAGCCAGTAGTGTGCAAAAGCAGCCAAAAAAGCTAATTCAATCCTAAATTGCATTAACAGAGGGATACAGTCAAGATCAAGTGAGATACTAATACCACTTTATAAAGCCTTAGTAAGACCACACCTAGAGTACTGCATCCAGTTTTGGTCACCACATTATAAAAAAGATGTTGAGACTCTAGAAAAAGTACAGAGAAGAGCAACCAGGATGATTAAAGGGGCTGGAGACTAAAACATATGAAGAATGGTTACAGGAACTGGGCTTGGCTAGTCTAGTGAAGAGAAGAACCAGACGTGATAGCAGTCTTCCAATATTTGAGGAGCTACCATAGAGAGGAAGGGGTCAATCTATTTTCTAAAGCACCTGTAGGCCAGACAAGGAATAATGGATGGACACTGAACAAGGAGAGATTTAACCTGTAAATAAATAAGGAGAAACTTTCTGACAGTGACAACAATCAACCAATGGAACGGCTTGCCCTTGGAAGTTGTTGAGACCTTCAAGAAGAGATTGGACTGTCATTTGTCAAAAATGGTGTAGGATCTCCCGCTTGGGTGGGGGGTTGGACTAGATGACCTATAAGGTCCCTTCCAACTCTGATTATCTGTTATCTGTTAAAATAGAACTACATTTTCAGTCAAGTCTCTGTTTAGTGAAGCTTACCACTAATTTCAGAGAACCGCAGCTTTGGTGAGATTAATGGGCCAAGCATATAATCCAGTCTTTGAAAGTCTAACATAACATATTTTTAATAAGTCAATATTAGTGAAGGAGGAAATGGAAGCAAACTAGAAGTTCATTTATGATACAGGGCACCAACATATTTATTTCTACCCAGCTTATATTGCATATATTTCTTGAAATGCAGCACCCAGAGTCCTTCACTAGTAGTTGGCCTGAGTTGCGTAGATCAGCCACCTGTAGACTCAACAGATTCCCCATGCAGCACAGCAACATTTTCCAGTCTCTCATCACCCCCACCCAACAATACTTTTCTTCAGCGGGAATGGCGGTACTTGTAACGCCACACATCTTGTAGGGCCAGCCTACGCAATCTTGCACGGTGTGATGCCGCTCGCGCTGCATCCATTCAAGGCCGGCAAGAGTTACGCGCCTAGCGATTACCTATCACACCGATTGGACTTAACTGTATTCCAGGGTTGTGGAGAAAGTGGATGAGGATCGCTTGATACACCCTTAAGGAACGCGTCTTAGCATTAGGCGGCGTCGGCCATTTTGGTTGCCCTAGTAACCGGGCCTAGCAACGCTGCCCGCCGGCTATCTCTGAGAAATCAAAACAGGCGTTTCTTCCTTACCTTTCTCGGCGGCCGGGGGTACTGTTCCCGCCGGTATAGAATAGCAGCTCTTCAAACAAAGGAGACCCTTATATAAAAGTTTTTTTTTTTTTAAATGGGAAGCGAGCGTCTTTCCGTTTTGTTCGCGTTATCCCTTCATCTCGGGTCCTCCTCTTGATCTTGGCCATTCCGTTTTCTCTTCACTTTCTTCTCTAAAACAAATGTTCTTAAATTCTTCTGTGTTTTCTGGGACAGAGGAGAAGGGCGGACGCCTTGGTTAAAAAGCAGCGCTCCGCTCCGCAGCGTTTCCAGTACTAGGCTAGGCGGAGCTCCAGAGTCGGGACTGTCATGTCTCTCGATGGGGACGGCGATGGCGACAA